GGACAAACCTTCTATAGCTGCCCCCAGACTAGAGAGCTCTAGGAATTTATTGCAAACACCAGCACCAGGCTAGATCCTTTGAGAGATTCTGTGTAATCAGTACGTGAATTATCCTTCAGGAAACATTAGATCTGGAAACTTTTATCTCGGGAAATCCTGGAAACAGAGTGCAATCTGTGTTTCCCCATCAGAAATGCAGATAATGTCTCTTTTATCATACTGTCAGGTTGTGTCCTACTGCCCCTCTTCAAACTGGGTGCTGGTGGCAGTGCATTTTGCTTGCATGAGCAACAGTGTGTCCAGCAGGACCAGGACAATGATTGTCCCTCTGTGCTCGGCGCTGGGGGACACACCTCGAATCCTGGGGTCAGTTTTACAAGACACACATTGAGATGCTGGAGTGTGTCCAGAGAAGGGCAACAGATCCAGGGAATGGTCTGGAGCACAAACATGATGAGGAGCAGCTGAGGGAGGTGGGAATGTTCAACCTGGAGAAAAGGAGGCTCAGGTAGAACTTTATTGCTCTCTACAACTCCCTGACAGGAGGTTATAGTGAGGTAAGGGTCGGTCTCTTGTTCCAAGTAACAAGCAACAGGACAAGAGAAAGTGGCCTCAAGTTGTGCCAGAGGAGGTTTAAATTGGATATTAGGAAAAATTTCTTCGCCAGAAGAGTTGTTAAGCCCTGGAACGGGCTGCCCAGGGCAGTGGCAGAGTCACCATTTCTGGAGGTGTTGAAAAGATATGTAGATGTGGCACCTGGGGACATGGTTTAATGGTGGGTTTGGCAGTGCTTGGTAAACGATCAGACTTGATGATCTTAAGGGTCTTTTCCAACATAAACTATTCTGTCATTGTTAGTGGGGTAAGGGCTCACGGAGGAGGACGTTATTGTATGTCCTGGCTGTTTGAAAGGATCAAGTCTGAAAGTTTCTGTCTCTATTTTCTACAGTGAAAAAATGGAAATAATGTTTATTCTGGCTTTCCTCATGTGGATGGTCAATGATATGTAGTAAAGGCGTGCGGCCTCAGGTAAAAGGTGTAGTAGAAGTGAAAAGTGTTCATATTTATAGCTCAGTTTGAGATTTTTTTTCATTCGAAACTAAATGAATCTTCTGGTCTCTGTTTTGAAACTGTTTCCCGTATTGCTGCAGCCAGGCAGGGGCATATTCAGGGGTGTCCACGTGTGATGTGAACTCCCAGCTGAGCTCCTTCTCCAAGTGCTGGGCTTTCTCCATGATGCCTGATGAGCAGGGGAGACCCACTGAGCAAGGACAAAGGGATGGAACTACACAGGCTCCATACAGTCAGTCCCAGCAGGCATCTGTACAGAAGATGCAGTTGTGGCCACTTTGCTGAGTTTTGGCCAGCACTGAGTCCCCAGGCAGAGCTAATGCTACTCTGGATCACAGCATGACGCTTGAGCTGCTCCAGGGTTAAATGCTTTTCAGATAACTGAACTTGGCTAGTCCTCCTTTGACTTCTTTGTGGGGAATCAAGATGGAAATCAGCAGGGGAAAAAGCTTACTTTTGCTATTGTTTGTGAGTCCAGCTCCATGAGCCAGAGCCAGCTGCAAGACAGGAGCAGTCCTCTTCCACTAATGAAAAATCCCTCCTAACTTCTCCTTCTAGACAGAAAATTTTGTCTTAAATTTCTTTAAGACAAAGACCCAATTCTGCTCTTACTGCCTGCAGTTCCAACTGTGCCTCAGGATTGCCATAGCAAGGGCAAAGCTGGTGCTGCTATTAAAAAGAAAATAGGTTATCCCAGAATATTAAAGTCTGGAACAAACAAATGGCAGCAGTGCTTTGTGAGTGCCCAGGTCTGTTCAGTGCAGATGCCAAGTCCCATCTCGGTAGGGTAGAGGAGGTTGGGATCAAGACCAGCAAACAGGCCGTGTCTCCACTGTGAGTTTAGAGCTCAGATGCTCTCCCACAGCTGCCTTTGCTGGTCTGCTTCTGTAACAGCATTGACTTATGGCAGTCCTTGGGCACTGCAGCAGCGTTCCCAATGACATTACAGTTGAGTTAACCCTGTTTTGGAGGAGAAAAGCCATATGGACTTAAGCTCCATATGGAAAGTAGCCATGGCCTTGGGTGCTGAGTTGAAGAGCATCCTGGGGAGGTGAACCTCAGCCAGGAATCTTGCTCACAGCAGGGAGACACTATAGATGAGTGCAAATATGTAATGCAAATCCCCTGTACCATAACACTGAGTCACCACACAAATAAATAGGAGCAGAAGTCCCTTGACCCTCTGCATACACCTGGGATGCTGTCGACACTCTGAATAAGCAAGTGGCTGCAAATATACTGGCTGTTCCTCTTGAGTGCTTGGATTCAGCTCTGCTTTGCAGTGCATCATTTAAGAGGTTGCAAATATTTTCCGTGTGCTGAAATAAAATTATAAACAGATTGAGCCTGGGTACAGTAGATCCACTGGACTAAATCTGACTAAGAAAAGCTTTCAATTAAAGAATGAGGCTTAAGGGGGATGGAGAGTGAGCTGGCATGGAGGGAAATTCCCTCAATTTAATGAAAAAGTTTTTTGGAAGTATAATCTCTGTAAAGATCGAAGGAGAGTTTCCTTGTTCAGGAGAGCAAGTGATGTAAATCAGTATCTACTAAAGCAGTCCATGGCTTGAATATAAGATAAGAACTGTCTGAAACTGCAAAACAGCATGCACTGCATTTTCATGGGGGAAATGTGCTGTATTCAGTCATATTAATTACTGTGTGGGCTCAATTTTCAGTGCAATCAATCCACAGGAGAAAAAAAAAAAAAGTACTGCAGAGGAAATATAAAAAGACAGTCAGCTAATAGGAGCCAGATTCAATAAAATTGTATCTGCCTTCAGTGAATGGCGAGGGTGAGGTGTGTCTGTTGTCCCTTGGCAAAGCACGCGATGGGTCAGGCAGGGGTTTGGAGCAACACTCTGTGTATACATATATCTGTGTGTATATATGTATATATATGTGTGTGTATGTATGTACATATATGTACAGGTGAGAAATGCAGTTCCTGTTGTGAGAAACTAGGAAAGAAAGGGATTTAATCCAGGCTGCGAGTGGACTTCACATGCTGGGTGAGCTTCACCTTTCCTGCAGTTTCAATTCAGTGCCAGTATTTTAGCAAACTATTTGGTTTGTTTGCCTAGCACTTAATAGGAGGATTATCTGGTTTCTTTTCTTTTCTTTTTTTTTTTTTTCTTCCAAGGTTCCTTTTAATTTTCCAAGTTGAATGTGTTAATTTTTAGTGGTAGCATTCTCTCTCATTCAGGTTCTAAACTTCCCTAGGAAGTGACTTCATGGCATTATTCAAGCAGATTATTGCCTGGAGTGGCTGAATTACCTAGTGTTCGTGTAATGGCAAGCTCCCAGTCCATATGTATTTAATGACTGTAACCATTTGTTATTTTCCCTTTATTAGGTTTGTTTTTAAAGAAAGTTTTACTGTGCTATTTATGATATGCTAAGTGGTGCAGCTTGCTGAAGAAACATATCGCATACATTTTATTTTTTAATAGGTTTTGCTTGTTAAAATGGAAATCTTTTATTTACCCTAGTAGGACAGTTTTTTGCTGACAGTTTTATTATTTCAATTACTCAGACATTTCTTTCCTCTTTTGTTTCCCCAGATACTCCTCCAGGGAGTTTTAATGTGTCCATTCTTTATTTAAGATTGGGTTCAGAACGTGTTATTTCTAGCGAGGCAGAGAAAAAGTGTAATATAGCAGACATTAAATAGTGAGATGTCAAAGTTTTATTTTCTTTCCTCTTTGAGTTGTGGAATCCTTTCCTCATTTGTGTCATCCGTTGATTAATTGCACTGATAATCTGCACTACTCATCAATAACTGTCTTCTACCAGTGCCAGGCAGAGTCCGTGCTCTGCCTAAAGAGTTTTCGGCTGCTGATAGATGGAAATACGTGTATGAGTAAGTGAAGGGACCTCCGAGAGCATTTGGAATTGTCAGAGATGCAGGCTGCTTTGATAAAATAATGTTCTATAAGTACAGGCAGCAACTCCTGAATGTGTTTCGCTTAGCAGTAGAAACGAGAATGAGACCATTTCCCCAGGGCAAAACCCAAGCCTTGGTCAGTGGAGTGAGAAGTGAACCCCAAGGGATCATGCGAGGAGGGAGCCTTAGAGCCTCAGTGGGCCTGAGTGGGTCAGCAGCAGAGCAGATTCACCTATGCAAAGTTCACTAGGGTGGGACAGCCTGGAAAACAGTGTCTGCTCCCCTGGCTCCTGCTGGGGTAGGGTTGTGATTCTCTCTGCAAGTGCTAGTGAGGGAAGCACTACCTAATTGTGATAGATCGACCACTCCCTGATGTGTGATGGATTTTATTCTCCATCATAGCCTGATCAGTCCTTGGACTATAAGAAAATCAAACCCAAATCATTGAATCATAAAATACAGTTGAGTTGAAAGGGACCCATAAGGGTCATTGAGTCAAACTCCTGGCCCTGTGCAGGACACCCCAAGAGTCACACCATGTGCCTGAGAGCATTGTCCAAATGCTTCTTGAACTCAGACAGGCTTGGTGCTGTGACCACTTCCCTGGGGAGTCTGTTCCAGTGCTCAAACACCTTCTGGGTGAAAAACTTTTTATGGATGTCTAATTTAAACCTCGCCTTACTAAGCTTCATACTGTTTCCTCGAGTCCTGTCGCTGTCACGAGAGCAAAGAGATCAGTATCTGCCCCTCTGCTTCCCATCATGAGGATGTTGAGGACTGTGATGAGGTTTCCCCTTAGTGTCCTCTTCTCCAGGTTTAGCAAACCAAGTGACCTCAGTTGCTCCTCATGCAGCTTCCCCTCCAGACCCTTCACCATCCTCACAGCCCTCTTTGGGACACAGCGGGGGAGCCCGCAGGGCTGCAGACAGGCGTGTGCTCTGCCTGCCTGCGGCTGCTGCGTGGTCTTGACCATCCCTTAGTGAGGAGGAAAGGGCGTTACAGAGCACATCCTCACACTCGTGCTTCCCATCGTGTTTTCCAGAGTGTCCGGGGGAGAGCTGTTTGACCGCATCGTGGAGAAAGGCTTCTACACGGAGAAGGATGCCAGCACCCTGATCCGGCAGGTCCTGGACGCTGTGTACTACCTGCACCGCATGGGCATCGTGCACAGGGACCTCAAGGTAGGGCCACAGCACCTCCCAGTCCCTGGGCAGTGTTAACAAAGGATTCATTTCATAATTATGTGAGTCCGACACGTGTACCCTGGGACTGGCTGTTTCGGTCAGGTTTTGCCACAGGAGAGATGCTCCGAAGACACCCCACGAAATTGTTTTTAATGAGGGCTTTGCAATCGCTTGTTACAGTGGGAATTTCCCACGGGATGTGGGGAAAGGCCATTCTTTAAGACCCGAATTGTTACATTAAGGCAGAAAACTCATCTCAGTAGGGATGTGTTTACTGCTGTAAAATGTCTTGCAGGTTTGCTGTGCTATGTTTACTTTGACTTAATAATAATTAGTAACAATAAATAGTGTGGGAAAGTGTGAGTGATTTCCTATCATGGTGTTTTGGAGACACTCTTAACAGCAAGAATTCTTCTAAGGACCCTTGTGTGACAATGTGATATTTAGATATTAGACATTTTCCTTTCAGCTGTACCGTATTGTCACATCAAAACCTCTCAACTTTTCTGGTAAAAAAAAACCCTAAACACTGTTTCTTTATTGTTTCCTACCAGTATCTTATGCTGTCATTAAGACAAACAGAAAGGCTTGGATTTCCTAGCACGCAGCTAAACAGCCCCATCTTTAGTATCTTTAATAATAAAAAAGCGTAAGATATTAGAAAAAGATACAAATGTAAAAGGAAAACTGTGGGTTCAGTTCCTGAGCTGGTTAATTCTACCAAAATCTACTGCCAGGAATTAAAAATTCAGTAATTAGAATAACACCTCTGGTGGTGTTTTGGAGGGATGCTCCAAACAGAAGTTTCCTAGGATATTGATGCTTGAATTTTCCCCCTGTAAAGAGAGTGGAATTTGACTAAATGGGTCATATTATATAAAGGTTTAATGAAAATTTTTAGAGCCAAGAAGAGATTTTTTTCTTTTTTTACTTCTTAAATACAAGGTTTTATTAAATGCATTTTAAAATTGCTTTTTTAAAATATAATCTAATATTAAACTGCACTTTTGCAATCTTTGACTACTCCTCTTAGCAAAGGTTGTAGTGCTGGGAATGTGACCTTGTTGATATACATTCAGATGGATGAAAAACTGTGGTTGTGAGAGATACTGTTTATTTGCTTTTTATCTTCTCCAGAATTAGTGCTGATGTGAAATGCTGTGTGGTGCAAAATAATAGGTGACAGTCCCCAAATGCAAAGCAGCGGGGCAGAAATGCAGCCCATTACTGGTGTAACCACCAGCACTGGTGTTCTCCAAGGTGCAGCAGCGCCCAAGACAGGCAGACATGGCCTGCCTTTGTGGCAGCCTCAGTGCAGCCATTTCCTTCTGCCAACCTTTGGCTCCAGATGGGAATCTTTTAGCTGTGTGTGGGGGCCATTCCTGGATTGCAAGCTTTTCTGCACCTTATTTCTGCAAGGGAAATATCTCAGTCCTGTACACCTCTGCCAGAAGTGAGCATCCTATGGCGTTCACTTTGACAGGTAGAGTAGAATAATAGAAAGTAGAAACATTTTTTTTTAAGTATTGGTGTGGCACATTTTTAAGACAAAACTTGGAATCCACTGAAGGAAGATACACACTGATATCCTCAAATAATGTTTCCTCCCCAGTGTTGTCCCAAATAATGAGTTCTCTGTGAGGAGGCACTGGTTAGGCTTCCATCTCCTACAGTCTTCACATATTGCCCTCAGTTCCTGTTCATTTCCTGCTGTTATGTACAAGAATATTTTCAAATTTATTAGATTTCCACAGCATTCCAGTGTGGAAGTATTGTTTAGTATTTTAACATGACTAGCTTGCTCCCAAGTTCAGTTTTTAGGAAATAACTTCAGGTTTCTTTCTGCCACCAAAAGTTTCAGAGGGATGTCCAAGTCCTCCTAATTCAGATACTCCATTGTACAAACTCTTAATATTCTCACCTTTATAATTCCTGTCTTTATAATCTAAAGCATGTTGTAGCTCTCACTTTTAAAAAATAATCTTTTTTTAAAGTTCCTGTTGTAAAATATGAGATCTGATGATTGGGAAGTGGATTCAAGTGCAAATTACTTTCAGAACTTACGTAAGGCCATGCTCAATTTAGATCAAACCAACCTTCTCCAGTGGTATTTGGAGGGAAAGACAAGCTCTTTTTCTTTTTTTTTTTGTTTACAAGTCTTTGTCAGTACTGTATCAGTTGTTAAAATGACTCAGAAAATACAGTATATGAGGAGCACCTGCTGTGAATTTCTGTTAGCACAAACATACCATGATGAGAAAAACAGGGATACAATAAGGCTTTTTATGATCTCAAAATACCAAGATAAGCGTAAATTTCAAATTATGAACCCCAAAATGAAACTCAGGGAAAGAATCCACTCTACAAAAATACAACCCATGGGACATCCATAACAATTATTTATTGTAATTATGTGTTGTTCAGATACCAAAATAGTACTTGCTGTATTTGGGAAAAGCAGGTCTGGGTCCCAAGTCTCTAATCTAAGTAATGCAACAGCAGAAGAGATGGCAGCAGATGACATCCTGGGAAGTCTGGGATGCACAGAAGGACTGGAAGGCTCAAGCAGCTTCGCTTGGTACAGACCCACCTTGTAATGCTTTTTGAATTAACCATCTTGAAGAACCAGAATTCTTTTAAACAAGTTTAGGTTTCAGGTGGCTGGGTTTCTTGGCCTTACTGAATATGAGTAAGTGGGAATCTGAGGTGAGTTAGCAAAAATTGTTAGGAAATAAATATCTTCCCTTAATACCAGCTCTACCAACCCCTCAGCAGATGAGAAGTGCACAAGTAAGAATCAGGAGTGACTCCAACCAAGGGCAGAACATGGAATAAAACTGTGATCCTTAAAACAGTGTCAGCATTGTCATGGCCAGTTAAAGCACTGGACTTGTGAGTTGTCATGAGAAAGAAACATAAATGGTAAAACTTCGTATTTATTTTGACAACCAAATTGTTTCCCTTTATATCTCAGCCCAGCTGCCTCACAGCTGTGGATGTACCTTGTAGATCCTCTCGTGGCCGTTGTGTCCCATGGATAAAGCCAGCACTTTAAGCTGGGGCTGGGGAACCATGAAATGCTTTAACTTCCCCTTGGAGTTGAAGGGGAACCCTCTGGCACTTCTCCATCCCCTCTTTCCCCAGAGCAGACGGAGAAGGGAGGGCAGATGCTGGTGCTGCTGTACTGCAGTTGCTCCTCCTTGCAAATCCAAGCTTGGATGTTTCCCAAGGAGTTTGAGGATGTTGTGTGTCCACAGCCGCTTCTCACCATTTCCTGGAGCACACAGCAGGCTGAGGGTTTGGAATTTGTACCAGCTTCTGGGCAAAGGCTACACCAAGGTTATTTTGAAACATTGGGTACCCACCATTTGTATAGGTGAAGACCCCCAAGGTCGAGGGCCTGTTGCCACCAGGCCGTCTGAGTGCCAGCAGCTGCTGGACCTTTTTGTGAGCCCAGATATTAAGTAGGGGGAAAAATGGACTCTCACAGCACCTAGAAAGAGCTCTGCTGTACAGCAGTGGCACAGTCAGAGCACATGGATGCAGCACTGTGCAGGAGCAGATGCAGGCTGGTTGGGCTCTCCAACCCACCTGACACTGGTATAAAAAGTCACAGGGCTCTGTGGAGTGATTTGTGCTTTCCCTCAGCATAAACAAGTTGCTGTGCTTCATGCTATAGCATTTTTTCCTAATCAGCTCTAGCAAAAACATCCTTGCTGAAAGTCTGTTAACTGTAAAGGCATTTCCTCTCTCAAAACTGTTTGTTTCCAGTGGAAAAGATACAAAATTTCTGTAATACCTACTGGTTTCCTTATATCTTTTTTCAAATGCTGTATAAAAAATTTCACGACACTTACCTGGATTTACCATATTTACTTGATTTCAAATGAATCCTTCTGTTTTTATCACTCCGATGCGATCATTTGTCAGACACATCTCACAAGTAAGGGATGAGCCTTAGTTCTTATCTGAGCTGCCAAAGGAGAAGTTTGTTATCCCAGAAAAATTACTCAAAGCTCATGGTGTTTTTTGCATTCATTGCTGTACAGGAGAGGATCTCCATGCGGGTTGTAGGAACAACTCCAGATCTAGGGGGAACCAATTATTTTTGTCTGTGACATAATTAAGGATTGCATTAAATGCAATGCTCGAGTCAACGGAGGTTGTTACTGAACCTACATATTCGAAATTCATTGTGCTTATTCTCTTTTCCAGCCTGAGAACCTGCTTTACTACAGCCAGGATGAAGAGTCAAAAATCATGATCAGTGACTTTGGATTGTCGAAGATGGAGGGTAAAGGAGATGTGATGTCCACAGCCTGTGGAACTCCTGGCTATGTCGGTAAGAGGTTTGATTATATTTTAGCGAAAATGAAATAATACTTGTTTTCTAGTGCTGCTCCGTGGTGCACCTGAGATTTTACAGATTTTTGCTATATTTCAGAACTTGCTGGTGCTTTGTCATGTGTGTTCATCCCCTTTGGGTTGCAATCCTGCAATCCAGCTCTGGGTTGGTGGGATTCGCTTTCATGTGTTTAATCCTTTGCAAAGCGAACCTTCTCTAAGACACTGCTTGCAGCTAAATAAGGAGCACATAGAGAATAGCCTCAAATTTATTGATTCTGTGAGCACCTATAAAATCAAGAGGCCTTTCCTAATGTAATGTATTCCTTTAATCGTAAAGGATAGCATTTTCCAGATTCATCTGATAGAAGACAGTCAAATGAAAGATCTGCATTTATTCAGATACGTTCAGTAATCCTCTCTTACCACCACGTTAAGTTACTGACTCAGATGTCAGTATGCAAAAACTCTTTAGATCCTCAAGCCGTCCTGGACAGTATAAAATTATTTCCTATCATTTATTCTTTGCTGTTCTGTCCATTTGTTAGTGATTGTACAAGGCTACTGATTAGCAGGGTGTTGGGCCAGCATTCTTTAAAAACAGCTGAAGTAGCTGAATGTGAGAATTACACAGCAGGTGATGATGGGGTCTGCTTGAGCAAACAATGTTTAAAAGGTTCACTTTGTGCACGAGACATCCAGCAAGCCCGTGCCTCCCACCATACACAGACCATCAGCTGAGGCTGCAGAATTAATCTCTGGGGCATCCATGAAATCTGTGAAAGTGAAAACGGCTACCGCAGGGATAGATTTGCCTGAGATCTTTCCAGTGGGAATGACTGGATGTTTTCCAGCAGTCAGAGACTCCTTTTGCTTAGCAGCTACCACCTCACCTGTTTCCATAGTTCTGATAATACCATGGTATGAGATTGTGCTGTTATGACACAGTGATACAGATTTGTCCCAGGTACCTTTTTCCGGGTATTATCTTCACGCTGCACAGACACCGTCTATCCCAATAACATCAGGAGAAGGAACAGATTTCTGTGCTTTCCCATCTTGAAGCCATCAGCCCATCATTGTTTTATTTTAAGACACATGAGTCAGGATGCTCTCTGCGCAGCCTGGGTAGCTGTCTTGTGTAATCACACCAGACTGGAAATCTTCTTCAAAGCAGTAGCAGGAATTGAGCTGAGATAGCAATTTTCATAATTTTTGCTGTCAGCTCTTCTCTCCTTAACAAACTTGTTCTATTTTGTTCTGGAATGGGCACTGACTAGAATAAGTCTTCAGACACAGAGAAGCTCAGATGTAATTTGCTGAAGTGCTGATGGAAGTGAGGGAGTTTGACTGTGCTTGGGCAGAGTGATCTCACATGGCCTCTCAGCATAGCCATTTACATAAGAAAACTTACGATTTTGTAGAGGAAGCTCTCAGAGCCTGTGACACAAACTGTAGTGCTTTGAGAGATGTTTGAGAGCTCTCATGGTCTGGGCACTGATAGCTGCACAAGTGCCTCCAGGCCTGTTGTTACCTTACTGAACACAGAATTTACTCATCACGGTTCAAGAGGTCCCAGCCGCTTAATTCTGAGGTGCTGACAGGACTTTCCCCCCTCTTTCACAAAGCAAACATCTCCAAATATTTGTTGATTTTTTTTTTTTTCTGCACAGGAAGCAGCTCCTCTTTAGTGCTGTATTTTTTTTAATGTGATAGGTTGATCAGACAACATTTTCCATGCCCAGAACATTTTTGTTGCCAGTCGCTGGGGTGATGCCCACAAATGGGCCCCTACAAAAGTGTCACACCTGAAGACATGGCTTCTGCATATGTGGTTAGCAATTCATCCACACCCAAACACTTTCCTGCCTTCCAGTTTGCATCACCAGCCTAATGCCCTCAAATCACTGTAAGAGTCATTCCTCCTGATGGCACAACACGAATACATGTCTTCAGCTGGGTTGGGGTAGACAAATGCCACCACCCCGGCCCATGAAGTATCCTATCTGCCACCTCTTTTTGTGTTTTGTGATTTTTTTCCCCAGATATTTTACCTAGGGTTGAATAACAGTTAGGGATCCATCACTCGCCTTGCATTTCCTGGTGATTTTCTTTAATGATATGTAGAACGGGTCATTTTTAAAGATTTTTATTAGCAACTGATTATTTTTCTCAGTTTAACCACTTTGCTTTTAAATTACTTTCATATCACACGTTAAAGGCACCCTGAGCTCTGTCAAGAAGTCAGTAGCATCCAGTCCTATTTATACTCCTGTTTATACTTCATCTCCAGAAATGGACCCAGTCAGATCCCACTATACAAAGTGTCAGACAAGCTTCTGACTTGGAAGCAGACCTGATCTTAACTCATGTCTGCTACCCAAGTATTTGCAAGTGTGCAAACTCCTGTCCTTTCTGTCTTATTTCCCTGATTAGGATATACTTTCAACTCTTTGTGTTTCAGTTTTTATCTCAACTTTTCTTAGTTTCATCCACAAAGAGCAGTAATATCTGAGACACTGAATCCCTGTTTATGAGGTTTGGAAGTTCATTGAACAGGGAAAGGTGTAATTATAATAAAATTCTTTAACGAATATCAGTTTTCTTACTGAAAATCAAAGTATTACTTATCAAATTAGAGTATATCTAAAATGTGCATGAACAGTAATACATTAGCACTTTAGCTTTTAAAGCTCTGCCTTACAGATTAAATTACTGTCAACATTTCCAAGATCTTAGTTTTTCAGAAGTTTTGTCAGAGATTTTAGTACTGTGGTTAAAAGCTGATGGTTAGTATAATTTCACCTAATTAATTTAGACACTTTTATTAAGAGAGCAATCTAAATGTTTATTTACTGCAAAAGGGATCTGAGAATACAACTTCTTCTGAGAAGGTCTTCCATTTTCTTATCTGCTTACCACTCTTTTTCCCATTTTTTATGGAAAGAGTCTAGGTGATGAGCTGGGACTAGGCACCCAGCTTTTAGATAGCACATAAATTGAGTAAGATGAGGTGGCTTGTGTGGCTCATTTCAGTGCAAATGAGGTGTGTGGACTGACCTACCTGGATCCCACCCCATCATCTAAACTGGAGAATAAGTGATGTTTTCAAAACCCTGAGTGATGTGTGTGGTTATAGGCAAAATCTCAATAAGCCATTAGTGATTTATCATTTCAAACATGATAGATTTGGGCTGGTCAGCTTGAAACCATTTACAATAACTCAATTTGAATGGAGGAGCTTTTCAAACCTGCCTGAAAATGAGACATCCCTGAGATGTGTCAAGTTGGGCACACACCAGGAGGTGACTCCAGTCACTCAGCAAATTCCTCTGAAGGCATTTTGGCTGTTTGGGAATTAGGTCTCACTGAGTAACTTTCCATGAGACCTGGTCCCTCAAAAGCTTTGGTTACTTCTGCAGATGGGACTTAAACACTTAGGAGCATTGAAAAGTTTGAGAAAAAAAGTTAGAAAGTCTGTCTGAGGCAATCTGATCTCCTTTTGCAGAAAGTCTGAATTATGAGCTGTGTTTGTGGCTGGCTAATATCTTAATCCTACTGAGATTTAAAATTCTTGCACTGAGTCCCAATCCAGCTTCATGTAGTATTTTCTCGCACTTCCCCATCGTACAAATTGGGCTGGACCCTGGATATGTGGTTGGTCCCTGTACACCCCACCTCACTCACTGTTTTCATTTTCTGTAGTGCTTTTATGAAAGGTCATTTCACAACTTTCAGCTCTGCCAGAAATCCAGTAGCAGTTTCAGATCCTACCAAAGCCACGTGTTTCTATTAGGCCTGCTCAAGACCACGGCGTTTAAGTAAGCAATGGATTTCCATGTTGAATTTTGACCTCTTTGGTATCCTTTGCGTTGAAGGTTTGAAAACATTCAATAAGCATTTGGGATATCCTTATTACCAAAAAGTTACCTCAGGAGCTGTTTAGGCAGTAACATGAGTAATAAAGTAAAAATAAAGCACGGGAACCACTCTGACCAGGGTTTGCTCAGGCATAAGCACGTGACAGTGTGATCTCTCAGCTACATTGCCATATCCTGACACTGTGTTTGCTTGTGTGTGGTTGTAGCTGAGTTATGTCTCATGACAAATACCTAAATCTGACTCAGCAACATGAAATAGGGAGAACAGGAGCACAAGAAGTCAGCAATACTGCACTGAAACCCTGATCTCCTTCAGAAACAGCCTCAAACTTCAATGTCTCAGCCAAATAGAACACAATGAACACTGGAGGGCTGTGTGAAAAATGGACAGGAGTTGTTTTCATCCCAAGAGTCAGTGGAAGGAGGACACTGGGTTTGTGGTGAAGCTGCCTCGTGCATCTCAGCCTGTTTGCACTGTGAGGAGGACACTTTGTAGGACAGCAGAGGAACTCACATTACTCTTGTACTCTTTGACTTCAGAAGAGGGGCTGGGTTGGCCCTTTGTGCCTCCAACCATCTTCTCAGTGGTGCTGAGTTGTTCCTCTCTGTCCATCTTCTTGAGCTGGTACTTCAGAAGTCCTAAGTCATGGGGCTGGTTCCATCTCCCTTTGGTGTCCCTTATAAACTCTGACTATATCTCACCTTCCCTCTTGGATTTCATGGCCATCCTGTGCAGCCCATTCATGTTTCCCCTTTTTACTTGTAGGATGTGCCCACAGGATGGAAACTGGCACTAAAATAGTTACCAGCTGAACTATTAGTCCTGGCTTGCACCAGGCCAGTTTGCTTGGTCAGCTGAGCTGTGTCCCTGCCCAATGTGAGCAGGTCTCTGGTTATTTTAACCCTATTTAGATCTTTCAGTTTCTTCCACATTTACGAGTGATTTGTCACTCCTACAGGGAACTTCAAGGACATAAACCTTTGTTCAAAGACCTTCTTCCTTCTGGCATACAATGTGTGGGAAGCCATGTAAACCACAGAAAATAGCATTAGACAGTTCTTGTGGGACAGCCAGATCTGCTGGGAGTAGCACCATCATGAGAGTGAAGGAGAACCACTTTTAAGTAGAGGCTGTTTTGAAGAACAGGCACCCTCATGACTTGTACAGTGTGATCAACAGGCTTAAAGTATCAGAGCAATCCCCATCACCTGAGCTCTTTGCAAGAACATGGGTTGCTGTTTTGGCATCCAGGCAGCTGCATTTTTAGGGAGCTTATTAGCATAGCTGTGCTCATTGAGGGTAATGGCATAGTGTTCTGAAAGGATTCAAAATGTTCCTGGTCTGTACCTTTTCTTAAAACCTCCATTTGAAACAAGCATTTTAATTTTTTCTCTTATTAAAAGCAAAACACAAAACCCCAATAGTAAAAGAGTAGATCATCTGGCCTGGGAAGAACATCTTCATGAGGCCCTGGGACTATTATCCTACCCGGTACCTGGCACGTGTTGCTGGTAATAATGGTGATTCTGCCTGAAATACAGTTCCTGGATGTGGAGGAAGGGTCCAGGTTTGCTTCATTGATTTTGCTGTTTCTGGGTGACTGTTGTTTAGCATTTGAGCCCTCAGTGATTCCCTAGGGAATGTGTGATACTGGAAGCCTTTGCTCAGCTGGCGTCTCCCCAGCAACAGAAATGGGAGATTTGACTTTCCCCTTATCCTCACTGCTGTTTTGTCTCCTCAGCTGTCTGTGTTGATCCTTTAATGCTGTCAGATCTTGGATTTTTTTTCATTGTGTCTCCTGCTTTTGCCTCTTGGCACTGATCTACCATCATTCCTAAGAGCTCCTCTGACTTTGTTTTTCAGCTCATTAAATATTTCCGTCTTTTCCACGTATCACAGGCAGATGATGCTGAGCTATGTTCTCCTGTTCCTGTTGCATGTCTGCTCATTGGAACAAAAATCAAAACCAGCCATTTGGGCTTAAAATAAGTATTTAAACCTTTCTTCATTAAGGTTTACCAAAGGGGAGTAAATAGCCTCACATTTGCTTTGAGCAAATGATGTTCTTACCTGCTTCACAGCCACCATCCAAAGCAGCAACTGTTATCAGTGCTCTTCACTCCTTTAAAACAGAAATGCCTCAACAAAGCTTTGATGTTTTAAGGGGGAGAATCTTTATATAGTTCACATCCCCTCATCTCATATTTGTTTTCTGTTGTGTTAATGTGGCATATCTGTATAATGTCAGGAGCTCACTAGGATCCCTGGTGCTTAGAAGCCATTTGCATAATATTTTCTCTTGGAGTTACGAGATGTATAGTGTTTACCAGTCCTGAAAATTGTGTAAACAGGAGCAGAGAGTCAAAGGTAGAAGAGATATGTGAATAAAGTATCGGGAATTTGGAAGGACGGGAAAATTGGAAGACATCTAATCTAACATAAGGACAGGAGAAAATTAACTCCCTTCTTCCTCATATTTTGTCGCAAAATTCAGTGACAAGGGATGGAACAAAACAGGAAACCGAGTCTCCCAAACCCTATTTGATGCACATTTTGAAAAACATGTTATTTTTAGAGGAAAACTTGGAGGCAAATTTTGATGAATCACAAAGGAAAGAGCCAGATTAAGGGACACAAGGATTTTATGGGAAAGTTGTCTTGAGCAACTCTGGGGAACAACTGTTTCCTACACGGGAAATTAACATTTCCAGAGTGTCCCAGCTTGCCAGATTATCTGTGAGGCAGTGGCAGGCCAGTGCTTTATTTTTCTATCCTGAGCTTGCCTTCAGATTCCCCCCGATGGACTAACTAGCACCCAGCCAACAGACAGACCCTGACCCAGCTGTTGGGAGAGGAGTTACATTTTGGGCACCAACTGTACAGGTCATCTGTATTTCCATAGCTTTGTCCCCTATTGTAGTAAGAGTATTTTTACCTTTATTTATCTTGGACTACAGCAGCAAACCCATGTCCTGGAAGGAGGTTCCTGAGGCTGCTCAAGAATTGGGGTGTAGGTTTCTACCAAGCACCTGGGGCTGAGTTCAGAGCCATTCATACTCGGAAAGAAAGTGGAAAGAAACTGCCTTTGGCCTGTGGTGGATAAGTGTTGGAGTATTCACACATGACAACAGTGTATTAGGATTAGCAATGTATGAACAGAACCATCCTTCTAATTCCTCATACATGCAGTGATCCCACTTTGCTGGATAACTTGAAGACTGGGGCAATATTTAACCTGTGCTGCAGACTGGGGCATATCCAGCATATCCAAATCTTCAAGACTCTTCATAATCTGGCTGCCAGCTATATTTGTATCCACGTTTCCCTGGATTTTCTTCATTTTTACAATGTGTCCCCACTGGAATTTGACCCTTTCCATCATTCCTGCTTGTGGAAATGCAGCCTGGCTGCTCTTATCTGCCTCATGCACTTTCTTCCTCCAATCCCTTCTGTAAGCTCTCATGCCAAAGCACCAGAAAGTCTCTTCTGTTTCTCATTATTGCTCCTGTTCTCTTCCTTGCTGGCAGTTTTGACCTTAGTTTTGTTGGCTTGCTTAGCTTAAGAAGCTAAGTCTTTGAAGAGTCCTATCAGTACACCAGAGCATGGGTAGCAACTAAATGTGAGGCTCAAGTTTTAACACTTATATGTGGTTCCCAATTTTTTTCACTGTTTTTCAAGTCATTAACTGCTTTGATGTTGGTAAGACTCCTATGAGAGTAAGGTGTAACCCCCAAGAAATATTTCTGTTGGGACTTGCCCCTTCATGACTTTTTTCCAGCATTTGAACTCCAAATTACTCAGGGGAAACACTGTGCTTTTTAAAACATAGTGTGGCAAGCCTGCTTTAGGAATGCCACAAGCAGTGATTTCTTGCATTATTGTGGACATTTTGCTTTGAAAAAAAAACAAAAAAACAAAAAACCCAAAAGCTTCTTTACATGAAACAGATTAGGATCACAGGGTCTTAAAATTTAGATTTAAGCATTTGTACTGCAAACTCCCAACAGGGAAAACATAATACTCCAGGATCCCCCCCAAAAATATACCTTTTTAACTCTCACTAGTCTAGGATAGGAAAGCAGACTCACAAAGAGTTTCAGTAAATACCCAGGCTCTCACTTCTAGCAAAATTCAGAGTATGGTGGCTGAAAGTTGTAGAGGCAGAAGGCTCGGTTCCTTTGCATGTGTCCAATTCCTGCTCCTTTCCTTTTCTCCCTCTGAGGTGTCTCTGTTCCCAGAGGCAGAAGGACAAATTACTCCTCCTTTCTCTGACATCCAGCAGGCTTTGAAAGGCAGCTGCTGGAAGAAATGGTGGCTGCTCTCCTTCCTCTCCTGCAGATGTAGTTTATCTGCTCCCTGACACGCTGCACTTTCTGAGCTGCCTCTGGAACTCTCTGGTTTGGCAGCATGATGTGGTGAAGCTGTGATGCTGTCAGGGGGAATGTGCATCTCTGCACCCATGCAAGGCTTGACCTCATTTTCCTCCCAAACAGGGAGGTGATGACTCTCTGCCTCGCACGTATTTTTCTGTGCTTAATCTTGTTTTCTGTGCCTAGAGACAAAAAATGGGGCATTTTCTCCACTCTAGGAGTCATCCTTCTTTGTAAGAATATGACCTTCAAAAAGGTCACTTACAATGACCTCAGGACATTTACAAATGCAAGGGTTGTGTGTGGAGGGCAAAACAAGGTCTTGGGGAGCTTCAGCATCCTGCCTCTTGACCCTACTCTAATATTTGTTCTTATAACATGTGCTTGCTTGGCTTTTTGTTTTTCAGCTCCTGAAGTGCTGGCCCAGAAACCCTACAGCAAAGCTGTGGACTGCTGGTCCATCGGGGTTATCGCATACATCCTGTGAGTACCTGTTGGGTTTTCAGTCACTGTCCCCCTTGGGACCCGCAGAATGCTCTCCCACCATCCAGTTACCCGCTTAGCCTGGGCCAAATAGTTAATCTCTGGCACTTGTGACCCAGGATAACATGAACTCTGGACAACTCCCAGCTGCATAAGGGCTCAAATTTGGGCACAAGTGGTAGGAAATGAACCAGTACCCTTCAAATGCCATAATCAGTGTGCCCACCTGAACTACACTGTAGGCAGTGGTATGGGCTTGTGCAGATTGTGACATTATTGAAGTTATGATGTCCCCTGCTCAGATGAGCTTTGACAGGATCCAAATTTGGCTGTTTCCATGCAGCACAGCATCATGCCCACAGGTATACCCCAAAAAGCCACCTCTCTCTCATGGCATCACCCTAATAGCTTTTTGTTCCCTGGGGAGGGCACAGAAGGAGATAAAGGGGAAAGAACTTTTAATATACTGGAATGAGTTATTCTCATCAAAATATAATACAAAAATATTGAAATTCTTACTGAAAATGAGGTATTGTTCTCCTTATCTTGTCCGACCATCAGGTCCCACAGCAGAGGGTGAGCCCTGTCAGTTCTTGGTGGAGATTTGCTCCTCTAATGGGACTAATCACTGCTCAAAGGAGGGAGGATTGGTTACTTGAGAAAGCTGCAGGACCAGGACTTCTGTGCGTTCTCCAAAGTGGTGGATAGATCTCAGAACTCATGTTCATGGAGATGTAGTGCCTGTCATCATTCAGTATGTGCCACCCTTCTTCACAAAGACTTACTAGGGTAATTTAGGTTGGAGGGAACCTTGAGAAGTCCTTTCCTTGAGGTCAGACTAGGGAGCCTAGGGCTTTATTCAGTTTTGTCTCAAAATCCTCCAGAGACAGAGACTGTGGGCAACCTCTTCCACTGCTTGACTGTCCTCATGGGGAAAAGATTTTTCCTTATATCCAGACTTGTCTTCATGAAAGGGGCAGCCAGTACTTTAGATGTGGGTGCACTTTCGGTGCTCGAGCCGTGGAAGTAGGTGCACCAGTCACTGCACCAGTGACAACACATGGAAGGACTGGAGAGGTGTCCAGCCCACTGTGGTCACAGGGATACGCTGGTACCAGGGATCATCAGTGCCATCCAGAAAAAGGCATTCATAACATAACTGGGCACCAGCCTCTGAATCCAGATCTGTGTGCATGAGTGTATGAAATCACTGCTCATTTCTGGATTGAGAAGAAAATGCAGGACTTGTTGTCTGACTCCAGTTTTTAGGGGTCTCTCTTGACAGGGCAGTCTGTGCCCAGGGGTGGGGGCTATAGGTCTGTGCATGTCCCTCGGGTAACAGCTGCACAGGTTTCTTGTGCCCAGCCTGAGACAGCCTTGAACCACAAGCTGTTCATGTGGGTCTCCCAGAGGAGATGGGGCTTTTGCCACGGACAGATCAGGGTGACCACACAAAGTACAACAAGCCTGTTCCCTCAGTCAAGAGAGCACAGAGCTGCTGTTTGGCTGTTGATTGCCACAGAAACAAATGTTTATTCCTGCCAGCATTGCTAGTGCTTTCTTTTTCTTTTTTTTTTTTTGACTTTTCCCTTTTGCACAACTGTCACAGTTATACAACACTGAAGGAAAAAGCAGCTCCAATGAGGCACAGCATTAAAGCATTCCTACTTTGTTCCCTTTCTCCTTATGCAGACATTTCATGGCTTGTCAACACGAATAACTTTTTGATGGGGTTGAATCACTATTTTTGCCAGGATATACCTCATTGCTGTGTTATCCACTCTGTGAAATGTTCGTTTCTTACATTTGCATTTAGTCTTGAGCATGTTATACACTACCCAAAATTGGGGGGAGAGGGTTATATTAAAATGGTATAGGAAGGCTTTATTTATTTGCACATGTTTAATTATTTAAAACAAAGTCCTGCCTGAAAATGTTTTATGACTGACTTTCTAATCTACATGAATATTTGAAATCTTATTGAGTACAAAACTTTACAGGGGAATGGATTCATCTTGGAGCAGCCATCAATAGCAAGATGTAAAAAACTTTTGCTAAACAAAGCAAAAATCAACAGTGCTGATTCTGACTTTGCTGCAAAGCCCAATGGGACATGCTGCACCAGTGAGGAAGACAACACACTTGCCAAAATACCTCAGAGGCTGCTTCACACATGATGCCCTAGTGCTCTTTTAGATGAGGATGGTGCATGCTGACCCAAAGCTCCCATTTTTCACAAGCAAACCTGAGCATGGAAGTCCTAGGGGTTGGGGGTTTTAAATGTATTCAGTCCTTGTCAGCCCTGGCAGGACACGGAGTCTTTTCTGTTGCTTTTTTAGTACTTTGCTGAGTACCAGAGTCAGCAAGTGGGAAGAAGGAGGATGCAGGTGGAAGACAGCAGTACCCCTGCCTCACTTCCAAACTCTGCTGCTGCCTGGGTTCAGTTTATTGTCAAATATCCATCGTGAAAATGTGTGTCCATCTAGCAGCCCACAGGAGGGCTGTGAACTGTTGCATCTGGTTGCATGGAGATAAACCTGGCTCTGCTTTCCCCCAAGTTTTCAGTCCCATGCATCAGTGGTTCATGCACCAAAGGTCTTTTTTTGCTGGCAGACCTGTTGTTATTTTACTTGTTGCTTTTCTGTGTCTTGCTGAGCAGTAGGGGTGAGACAGTGCTAAGCAACCTCCACACTCAGTTTTTGAACACATCTTCAGTAGGTGGAAGATTTCAATCTCATCCCTAATCCTTCCCCTTTCCTAAGCAAGGCTGCTCTTTCTACAAGGTTCAGCTCTGTTTCCTTCTCTGTTTTCCAAATCAGCATGTGCTTGGCTTGTCAAGCAAGGCATGCACACTCCTCAAATTTAAATTCCCTATTTGCTGTATGGGGAATTCCAACCCACAGGGCTTAAATCAACTCGGTAAGAAAGAGCCCCTATGAATTCCTGTTTGCAGGACAAGGAAGCCTTTTCAGGGTTTCTGTGCTTCAGGTAATAAGGACTTGATTTGTATTGTGTACAGTCCAAATGAATGGCAATAACACTTTGCTGCAGAAGGATCATGATAATGTGTTTGCCAGACTGTTACAGCTTGGGTGGGATTGTCTGGACCAGACCACCTCCTTCAGTGTTTCTGCACGTGAGCTACATCCTTCAGCTCCTGTAACAGCAGCATTTCAGGGCTCCCTTTGGTCCCCCTGACGTAGGTGCTTAGTGCTGCTGCAGTCACACACAGTGTACCTGATCTCAAGCTGTGGCTTCAGGACAGTCCAGCCCTGCATATTCCCATGACATCCCTGTCAGCTGAGGACAGGGGTGCTGTGCACTTCAGCTTCTCCGATGGCACAGGACTCTTTTTCTGGCCACCTCAACCCAGTCTGGGTCAGTGCAAGAAGTCCTTTCACCAGGGTGTGCCCTTAGTTACCTAAACTTCCACATGTAGTGCCACTCTGGGGCATCCAGAACATCCATGTGCATTTGGCAGATGCAACGTGCTGTGGAGACCTTCCCTGCAGAGTGACAGATGGAGCCAAGAGGGAGACCATGGACCACGTCAGATAGCACCAGATGCCCATGCTGAGGTGACTGGATCACACCCTGCTCTGTACTCAGAGCCCTGCTTTCACAGTATGGATTCATCTGCTTTATGCGAGATTTGCATCACTCTCCAGTCTCTGTTGACTCTGTCTCTGTTGAGTGCAATGTGATCTTAGAAACACAGCCCACATCTCACACGTCCTAGTCTTGGTCTGGATGTCATCCTTGCTTCCAGGAATAGCCAGAAGTTGCAGACGTGGTCTCTTAAGAGAGTGGACGTCTGGGATACAGCAGAGAGGAAAAGGGTCCTTCCCTAAGCTGGAAGGAAGCAACCCTGCTGGAGTGTCTGATCCCACCACTGATGGGCACGGATTTAACACTTGGGTTTACTGTCTCAGCAGTGCCATTCCACCAGAGGTGGCAGAGCCAGCGAACTCCCAGTGTGGAATGACACTGAGATGCCTCAAGCACCAGCAGCACAGCCACTCTGGTGCAACGCTGGTAGTTAATCCTGCCCTGAGCAGGAGTTATTAATTCCAGTATATCACTGCACATATCCAGATGTGCCATTTCCATCTCCACTGTCAGCACAGTTGGAGCTACCTGCACATGCCTAAAGCAGTTTTGCACATGGCAATCCAAGCACAATGTCCTGCATCACCTCCCCACCTCTCCCACAGATTCTCACAGCCACTCTGGACAGTCTTGTCGTTTAGGAAGATGGAAACTCAGGGGAATCTAACACCGAAGCCAGGCATAAATTAAAGATGCTATGAGCTATTATTACTACAAGTGGTTTGAGTGCCTGCAGACAAAAGCTCAGTTTCACTTGAGAGCGCTCCATTTATGACACTGGAAGAATGAACTGTTTCTGTGGCACCAGTGCTCTAGAGAAATCTTTGTTTCTGTGATATGCAAGGCAAAGGATGTCTTAGGAAAGAATACCTTTGTTTCAGTGCCAGTCTCTAATGCCTCTCGTTAATGACAGCCAGATTGCAGAGGCCGCACCAGCGGAGTTTTTATCAAAACCTGTTTTGCATGAGATGTCATTATTCACACAAACTAATTTTAGAGCCTGAAATTTCCTGTTATTCCAGTTGCAGTATTTCTGAATTGGAAACAGCCTCAGTGTTGAGCTCAGCTTTCCACTTATCACAAAATAGTTCTGATAATGTGTCCAGCTTAAAAATATGAAGCTTAAGAAGAGCAAGAAACTTCACTGGATTCCCAGCAGCTGGAGTAAGGGGTTACAAAAGCTTGTGAAACTAAAATACTGATTACGTGCACACCTGATAAAGAGAAGATTAAGTTAATTTATGGAAAAAAATAGAAAATAATGTTTCAAAGCTGGGAAAGAACCTGGGCCAACAGAATCCTCTGTCTCAGCCCTTGGTTATTCATAGGCAACACCTCCTGTCTCTTCTGCACTAGGCTGAGCACACCTGCACATTTTGCCTTGAATTTTCTTCTGATTCTCTTCACTGTTAGGACAAGAGAATTATTGGTTTGTTATTGTTGTTCATAAACAATAGGTATCTGGAAAAAAATCTTGGATCGTATTTTCACACTTTGCTGCTGACCTGTTTTTGATTTTCAAATAGATGTTCATGAATCATCAGTGATGTTTTATGGAAGGATTAACCAGGGACAGTAGTGCAAAGTGTATTATGCCAAAAGAAGTTTCCACCATCCCCCTGGAGTCATACATTGGGAAAAACTGGTCAGTCATCTCATCTGCTTGGCATCACACACAAGCCTAAGCAAGAAACTGAAGAATAAGTTACTTGTTTGATACTGGAAGGAGGAATAGTGGTGGCAAAGTACAAAGGCATGTTGGATTGTTCAGGATAACTCACATCAACGCTGGGAAAACAGCCTCAAATGATTGTTACTTATCATTTGCTTCCTAATTTGTCTTTGATTCCCTAGGTTGTTAACATGTCCTTGTCCACAGCTCTGTGAGGGCACTGGTGTCAGCCACTATGAGGGTCTATTCCCAAAATATACAGAAGAAATACATGTGTTTATCCCTATAAATAGCACTTGGATGACTTCCCACACCATACATCTCAGGTCTTCGAGCACTTACTGAATTCTTTGCTCTAATCTAACTATAAAATTGTTTGTGTCTCTTGGTCCTTGGTGTCTCTTGTGCTGCAGGCTGGGCACTGACTATGTGAATGAGTTATTTAGCCTTTAGTATCACCCCCAAAACGTAAAGAGAGCTTGCAGGGATTTGCTTTCTCTCCATGGTGAGGAGAAGAGGTTCCTGCTGTTGTGCTCTCATGGTGGCTTCTAGAAATAACTTCTGGCAATGTATTTCTTTCAAACATCCACTTGTGTTTTTCCTATCTGCATCCCATTATTTTTAAGGCAAGACTGGAAGTAAGAGTTTAGGGGGAAATCTGTTACTGATGTGATAAGGTTGCTAAATAATTCTGAAAATCTTTTATTTGTTGAAACTGCAAGAAAATTATGACAACCAATATATTCCTGAAACTCCCCGAGGACAGTGTAGGATTTTTTTCACATCGAAGACAGAGGGTTTATTTTTGCATTTCTGCATATCTAAAGAAAAGCAGCAGAACCTCTGATAGTGAGGTCATTTTTTTCACACAGAATGTCCCAGCAGATGGAAACAAAGTCGGTGGGATTTTGATTCAGTAAGAATTAACCAAAAACTCATTATAGACTTTGGAAAGTGTCCCAGTTGCTGAAATATTTCCTCCAGCTATGAATTGTCTGATAGGCTAATTTACTGGGGCTTTCCCATCCCTTTCTGCAGAGCCAATAATGTTAAATATTAAAGTAACATTAAAACTTCTTTGTCTTCCTAAACTCTGTTTTTAAGAGAAATGACAGCAAGACTGCCTATATTTTGGCTCTCAACCTGTCACTGTGCCAGGATGCCCTGATGTTCTCCTCCCAAATGCCACCTCTTCTGACCTACAGAGCTTTCTCCCTTCTCACCTGCTTTCTGGTGTGGGTCCTCATTGAATTGCCTCCCTGAGGAATATTCTTGGCCCTCCCTATGCGGGAGGTTCATCCCGTTCCTGGACAATTCAGGATCAGCCCTTGCCGTGCACTCAGCCTGCTCTCATGTGAGGGGTTGATTTGGAGGGATGTCCCTGGCCGTGACCTGTAATAGCAACTAAAACTCCTCAACCTCCCACTGGCAAGGGAAAAGCTTTGCCCTGTGCCCAGCTCCCAGCAGTCCTGGTGGGACTCTCCTGCATGACCCTGTCTCTCCTTGTGCTTCACCCCTCCCAGCACCCACTGCTGTGAGGGGCTGCAGGGATCTTCTGCACACAGAAGGTGTAGATACTCAAGCTGTGCGTAGAAGCAGTGGAGGAGCTGGACTGAAAGGCTCTGGAGAGGCTGAGGTTCTTGCTGGGGTTCATTCCCTTGTGCTCCCCCTTGCAGGGTTGTAGCCCTCCAGCTCTGGGCTGCTCAGCAGTTCACTCCTACATTTTGCTGCCACCAGTGTGTGTAAATCACAGCAGTCCCGACTTGTGCTCTTGTACCTTTGCCAAGGTAATTAGTACAGTGCACATTTAGAGAGAGTTATTTCTCTCTCCAGAGCAGCCTGCCAGTGCCTCAGCATGCACAGCGCTGTCTGCTCACCTTAAAATGCTTTTTCAGAGCAGTTTGGGTTTTTGTTTAAGAGAAGTGCTGAGGAGGGCAAGAAATTAATGAGGGACTGCCAGGTTTCTTATTCAGAGTCCCCTGAGCCTCCCAGGAAAGAAGGACAGAGTGATGGCTCCAAGTGCCCTTGGAGGAGCTGTTTTACATCAGTCTGGGCATCCCTACCCCAGTGCCCATCCTAACAGCTGCACTGCTGGTGCTGTCAAACTCCATCATTTCCAGATCTCTCAGTAAAGGGCACAAATTTTGAGAGTTGTGAGGGTGGAGTAGTCATTGTCCATGGAGTTGCTTAAGGAAAGACTGGATATGGCACTCAGTGCCCTGGTCTAGTTGACATGGTGGTGTTTGGTCACAGGTTGGACTTGATGGCCTCAGAGGTCTTTTCCAACCTATTGGTTCTGTAATTCTGTGATAAAAGGGGAGGAAGGTGAAAATCAGTTTGTGTGCACATCCTCCCCCAGGACTGTGGAATGTGAGCACTGATAATTATTACACTAAAACAAGTTATTTAAACGTTCTTCACGCTGCCAGGTGTTTTTCCTTCATTATCCCTGTTCATAGTAGCCTTTTGGCACTTGCTTAAATGCAGCATTTTTAATGGCCCTTCTCATACATCACTTCTACCATGGGTTTTCACACAGGAGTTGCCTCACCCAGCCCCACACACAAGCACGTGCCTATGAAGTAGGTACACAGTCCTGCTCTGAAGGTACATACTTGTCTGGCATGAGGTTATCTTACTTGCTTTTGATAAGGGCAGTCATCCAGTGGGACACAAATGAGGACTGGCTCATCTACTCTGCGAGATAAAGAGAGAGATTTCTGATTCAGCTGGACCACAGTGGATTCATTATCATGCTGCAAATTTCATCAGAGTTCTCCCAGGTCAATATGGATGTGACGCAGATCAACATCTCACTCAGTATTTTAATTATTTATCAAGCACACTGGCTCTTCAGAGCTAACAAAACATTGCTCCTTTCACCCTCAAGTGTTGAGTTGGTTCAAATAACCTCCAGGGCAGCTGGCTGGCTTTGGGTTATAAATAACTCAAGTATTTAATTTCTTACAGTTCCCCCCTTTTGCTCTCTTGTTGCTGCAGTTTCTGAGTTGGATCTTCAGTCTGTTTATAATTGCTGGCTCTCTCCAATTAAATGCCTTATTGAGGTTGATTGACTCAGAGTTTAAGAAAAGTGCTGGGAAAAGATTATTTCAGTACCAACAAAGTATGTGTAAGAATAATTTTAGCCATGGACTAGAGATAAGAGAAAAAAATTTATCATCTCTATATAGACCACAGAGACAGGAAGGTCTGTTTAACTGTGAGCAGGATGGGTTTGCTAAAACCTCAGAGCAGCCACGGAGGTAAATGTGGTGCTTTCAACCCTGGTATTAAAACTTGAAGAAGGGGCATCTCTGCCGACATGTCTGTTTAGAAAGGGACAGACTACTGCCTGCAGCATCAGCTGGGTGTGAGAGATCTCTGACACACGAGTTTTGTCGCTGCACTGGCTCAGTGCAGTGCTGGATGTGCTTTTCCCACGTCTGCAGGGCTGGAGGAGCCCTGCCTGGGCACAGTGACTGTCCTGCTGTCTGCAGCACTGGGGGGGTGCACCCCGAGTGTTGTAGCTCAAACTAGGCACATAATGTCTAATATCCTGCTTGTCCTGGGGTTAGGTTTCTTCAGAAGTCTGATCATAAACACTGAAAAACAGGGCAGGACCGTTGTTAGCCTTAGGCAAGGCAGGTAGTTGGACATAGTCAGCAAAATCGCTTGCAGAAGTGAGATAAGGAGAGGCTCTCCGTGTATCTGTGTCAGCAGCAGGTCCATGTCCAGCCCTTGCAGGCTCTGCTGCAGAGGGGGACTGACTCCCAGACATTCTTCTTGCTGTGCCTGGGGATGCAGAGCCCAGCACAACCTGCAGATGCATCCTACCCTGTGCCTGATAGCTCTGCAGAGTTCCTTGTCCTGCTTTGCACTCCAGGTCTGCTGGATGTGCTGAGGGTTGGGGATCTGTGAATGTAAGGTGTAGCTCCTGAAATCTCCTCTTGCCACATGTATAGGAGAGGATGGAAGGGGACATGTCTGTGTAATAAAACTATTCCTCTACTTAAACACCCAAAAGCATGCAGAGAGAGGCAGGATATCTGCATCAGTCAGCGTGGGATCAACAGCACCAGGTTTCCAAGCAGAATTCCTCTTTGTCCAGGACAGAGCCAGTCTTCAGAAGTGGCTTTACGTGTCCCTGAACAAAATTCTTTCATGGTAACACTTGCCTGTGTGAAAACTTACTGGGGCAAGTCTTAAGCAAGAATTTCTCCTTTTTTCTCCCTTCCTCTTTCTTCTTGACAAAGATAGGTCCAGTGGTTACATCTCTCTTTTCTTGTTCACCATTAGCCTCTGTGGATATCCCCCTTTCTACGATGAAAATGACTCCAAACTCTTTGAGCAGATCCTTAAGGCCGAGTATGAGTTTGACTCTCCATACTGGGATGACATCTCTGAGTCTGGTGAGTAGTTACTGCTCCTTTAATTGCAACAACCATGCATGCATGTGTGTCTATTGCTTGTATCATCCTCTGGGAGCGAGAATGCCCCCTCCATCATGTCCAGAGCTCCTTTTGACTGAAGACCATTGGGAATGTGCATTTCTCTCACCTTAAATACTTCTGGGAATTTGTTTCTGTAGGAGAGCAAATTTAAGTATGATTTTGTCCAGCCGCACACAAAGCACCAAAACATAGCTGAGACAGAAGATGAAGATGTCAGAAGACTGTCCCAAGAAGAAAAAGCAGTTTAATTTCTCAATCAAATCCAAATGAGAAGCAGATGGTTTAAGTGTCATTAATAATAAGGTGGCAAACTGTTTTGGCTCCGTTACTGACACTGCACTGCAGCTCCAAAGTGAGACTGCAGCGTGTGCAGCAAAAAAAACCAAGAAATCATTGGCTTCCAAATGAGGTGGATGAGCAGATCCAGAATCTGGGAGGACTATCCACGTGGTTGGATCCAGACAGCTGCCCATATGCTCGCCCAGCTCCCCACCCAGTGCAGAAGATATTTAACCCACAGTCTGTCCCTGCTCTGCTCAGTCCAGCAGAGGGGCAGATACACCAACATGTTACAGGCAGATATGGCTAAAGGCTTCTGGCTCCAGCATGGCTCATGGCCTGCCAGCATCAGTGTCCATAGGTGACAACAGGGACACATTCAGCGTTGCATCCTGCATGTGCCCCTGACGTGCTGTGTGGTCTCCAAGAGGTCACACAAGCTCAGTGTCCTTGCTCTTTCCGACCCAGGGAAACATCTTCTGTTTCATGCGGGAGAAGAAATTAATTCTAGGAATATTTCATCATGTAAAAATACCTCTAGAAATGCAGTTTTCTGATTCATTAGTGCTACTGATTGAGGCAGGAGAGATAAATTTTGTTTTTATTATAGAGACTATTATATATGCTCTTATCTGCACATAGAGCAACATTTCATGCTGCGTACATCTGCAGTCCAGATATCATTGTGAAGGATTGCTTTAAAATGTATGTGATGAGAAGTTTTTTAAGCCCTTAAGGGTTTTTGGAGAAAATATGAAGGTCTGCTGGCAGACCCCTTTGCCTTTTGGGGGAAAGTCCAGCACCTAAATCAGCACAAAGATTTTCCTGCCATATTTGGCTTTGCTGTGGCTCCTTCAGCTACACTGCCCTGACACTACTGGATGCATGCCATGCTGCAGCCTCCCTTCCTTCCATTATAGCGTCGATTAAAAACACACTGCCTCGTGCTCCAGGGAGTCCATTTGCCTCGCTAAATTCCTTTTTAAATACACAACAGTGTCCTCACAGCTGTCCATGTGTGTGACTGCTTGGAGTGAGCAATGTGAAGCTTCTCTTGCTGTGGCATCTAACCTCCTCCCTGCTTTTCCCACCCGGTTTACCAGCACCTGCAATGGGGTGGCCACATTCAGACCACTGAGATGGTCAGAAGCACATGGCTGACTGGGGAGCTGGGAGCTGTCAGGCTTGTGCTCTGCTGAATCTGAATTATCCATCCCACTCCTAAATATACCTGCAGGAGTAGATGCCTTCAGTTTTTATATGCTGTACTAAATAGTTTGGCTTTGGCCCCTTTTGGTTAAATCTATACTAATAAATGACAAATGGCCTTCAGGCCATTTTCTTGTGCTGTGGCCAAGTGACACTTGGTAGCCTGATCAGTGCTGTTGGCTGATCACCCATCAGCAGAAGTGGGCATCAGCTCTGTTGCTTTCATTTATTCTCTGGGTTTTTTTGCAGCTAAAGACTTCATTCGCAATTTGATGGAGAAGGACCCCAATAAAAGATACACCTGTGAGCAAGCAGCACGGCACCCTTGGTAAGCTGCAGTCACTGGTGGGTGAGGCCCTCAGGGCAGAGGGCATCGTTTTACATTCATGGGTGGAAGTGGTTTTCCTGTCACATGCTCTACTAAATAATTTCGACAGGAGGCTGAACATGAGCCAGCAGTGTGCCCAGGTGGCCAAGAAGGCCAATGGCATCCTGGCCTGCATCAAGAACAGTGTGGCCAGCAGGAGCAGGGAAGTGATCCTTCCCCTGTACTCTGCGTTGGTGAGGCCACACCTTGAGTATTGTGTTCAGCTCTGGGCCCCTCAGTTCAGGAAGGACATTGAGGTGCTGGAGCGGGTCCAGAGAAGAGCAACGAGGCTGGTGAAGGGACTTGAGCACAAGTCCTATGAGG